TCAAAAGATGAATTTAGACAATGTTTTGAAAAATGGAATAAAAGACTAGACAAGTGTATTAGTGTAAGTGGAGAGTACTTTGAAGGGGATTGAAGGTTTGTGCTTAAAATTTGAATAAATAAGTTTAAAAAAATAAGTTCGGTTTCTTTTGGGTACCCCCTCGTATATGTATTTACCAGAATGAGTGATCCATAAGGTAGTTATTTAAAAGTAATGCCTTTTTGAAATATGACTGGGAGGCTAGATTATGTCAAAGTGATCTTGAGTCTACCTCATTGTTGCAGGAACACCATATTGTCATAAGAGTTATGGGTGAATGCCAGAATAATGTCTTGAAATAGGCCGTAACTGCTTCCTGCCCACTTCTTTTAGCTCATAATTATATTGTGACATGATGGCTAACTTATTTTGTCCAGAGGTTCTCGGTATATAACCCGGCACAGGCTTCATAGAAAACACTGCTTCTAACTGCCCTGCATTGTTCGTGTGTGTGTCTGTTTCTGCAGAAACTTGTTTATCAAGCCGTAACCACTCAACAGACAACGCAGACATGTCACAATATTGTTCAGTGCCAAATAAAATGATTCCGGGCAGTAAAATGAATACTGATAAAATATCACTCCTTATTGTGAAATGTTTAAACTTCCTGAATTTTATGTGTTGTGCACCAATTGAGGATAATAGGCACTATTGGTATTTTGAAGACGTATGCACGTGAAGGTAATGTTTTTTTTTTGTCGTATATTTGTTTCAGCACTCGGATAACAAAAGATTGCTAATTCAAAATGGTGAAAGAGACGACTTATTACGATGTTCTGGGGGTGAAACCCAGCTGTTCTAATGAAGAATTAAAGAAAGCATATAGGAAGTTAGCATTAAAATACCATCCTGATAAGAATCCCAATGAGGGAGAAAAGGTAATGTGAATTGTATTTAGTGTATCATCATCATCATCATCATCACTGGCATGACAGCCCTTTGTGAGCCCTGGCCTTCCTCAGGATTGCTCGCCATTCTTCTCCATTCAATGCTACATTCCTCCAGTTCTTCACACCCAAAACTTTATGTCCTGCCACACACATTCTTCCCATCTCAATCTTGGTCTTCCCACTCTCCTATTTCCTTCTGGCTTAATATTAAGTATTTTCTTAATCGTTCTATTCTCGCTGGCACGTATTATGTATCCAGCCCATTGAAGCCTTTTCACCTTTATAAATCCAATATTTTCTGGTTCATTAAATAGTTTGTATAGCTCATGGTTATACCTCTTCCTCCATATTCCATTTTCTTCCACTGGTCCAAAGATGTATCTCAGGATCCTCCTTTCAAATATACTTAACAGTCTTTCATCTGATCGTGACAGTGGCCAGGTCTCAGAGGCATAAGATAGCACTGATCTTATAAGTATTTTATACTTCATAGTTTTGGTTTTCCTGGGTATTAGTTGGGATTTCAGGTGTTTCCTAAGGTCATGGAGACATTTATTTGCCGCAAGTACACGCTTTTTTATTTCATCACTGACGTCATTTTTACAGTTAACATCTGATCCAAGGTAAGTAAAACTACGTACAACCTCAAATTTATATGAGCCAATTTCCATATATGCAGGTCCATTAGCACAGTTTTTCTTGGTTACCGGCATGTACTTTGTTTTATTTTGGTTAATTTGTAGATTCATATTTTTTGCTGCTATTTCGAAATTAAGAAAAGCTTCTTTCATAAATTTTTGTGTCCTACCAGTTATATCAATATCTGCAAATGCCAAAATTTGAACTGACTTATAGAATATAGTCCCCCTTGTGTTGATGCCTGCATCTCTAACTACCTTCTCTAATGCTATATTGAACAAAAGGCAGGCTAGGGAATCCCCTTGTCGAACTCCATTTCTAGTTATTATAGGGCTGGACAACATATTCTGAATCTTAATTTGGCATTGGGTCTTTCTCATGATGGCTCTGACTAAGGTGATGTGCATCTCTTCCATTGCCAGAAAAAGACTATCTCTATCTATGGAGTCATAGGCTGATCGGAAGTCAATGGAAAGATGATGTGTTTCAATTTGGAATTCATTACACTTTTCAAGGACCTGGCGAATAGTGAAAATCTGATCATTAGTTGATCTTCCTTGATGAAACCCACATTGGTAATCCCAAATTATGCCTTCCACAAAGGGAGAGAGTCTGTTAAATAGAATGTTGGAAAATATTTTATATGCTATGCCCAACAGACTAATTCCTGTATAGTGTATAGTTAGAGCACACCATGACGTCACCTTTCTTATGGATAGGGTTCCATTCCTCTGGGATTATTTCAGTTATCCATATCTTAACTATTAGCTGATGTAAGTGCTTAGCATATTTTGGGCCTGCAAATTTCACTCATTCTGCCATGATGAGATCCATTCTTGGAGCTTTATTATTTTTCAATTTTTTGATAGCTTGTTCTATTTTTATGGTCACCAGTGGCACTTCGGCCTCAAAATTTCCTTCATTCCAGTCTGTGGTCATACCTTCCGCTTGTTCAGAGGCATTACCATTTAATAATCCCTCAAAATATTGTGCCCATCTTTCCAATATTGCTTCATCGCTACTCAATATCGTGCCTTCTAGGTTGAAAGTCCTTTCGACTCTTGTTTAGTTTTTAATAAAATGCCTTTATTTTGTTTGAACTTCTTAAATGCTCCAGTTTATTCAGTTCTTGTTTATCATATTCCCTTTTCTTGTATTTATGCAATCTTTTTTCCTTTATTCTCACTTTGGTATTTTTCCACAGCTCCTCGAGCATGGTTCCTTTGCTGCATTCTGTATTTGGTGTATATACAGTGAAATCTGCATGCACAAGATTTGAGAACTGCTTACTGTTTAATAAATTATTGTGTTTACTTGCATAGTTTTTAGAACTTCTTGCTGAACATGTCTCATTTGTACTTCAGGTTTCAGAGGTGTAAGAACTTTTTAATGTTTTTGTTTTCTCTGACATGCCGTTCCCTGTGATTTGAAATATCAGTACCGTGTGATTGTTTAACATCTGTAATGCCATACTAAAGCATTTTGGATTAAAACTGATTTAATATAAAACTGCTTTTTGTTTCGTACTCCTTAGTTTTTCTTATAAATGCCCAAGTATGTTTTCCTCTTGTCACTGTAGAGCAGAAAAAGCAAAACAGTTAAAGAATGAAACTGAAATGCAGTATCTTTTTTTTTTTGCTTTTGCTTACAAATAGGAATGAGGCTTAATTCATTGCCTTATGAGTAATATGTTAAAAACTGTGATGGTTCATGAAAGTGACAGGCTGTAAAATGGGTAACGGGTTCAGTTCCTAGTATGGGCAGGGATTTTTCTTTTCAGCACCAAGTTCAAACTGTCAGTAGAGCTCACCCAGCCTTTTATATCCAGTGTGTACTGGGAGCTTTCTGCCTTTGAGTAAAATGGCCATAGCATGAAGCTCACCACTCGCCTCCAGCCAGCTCTGAGGTTAAGAATATGTAGAGTTCACCTCCATCCCCTAGGTATTTCACAGCAAAGTGCTTAACAGTAGGGGCAACTTCGCATTCTTATAGATAATACTGTGGAATTTCCCATTGAAATCAACGCTAAACTGAAAATGATACAGGAATCCTACTTGTCCTAGGCTGAATCCAAAGAAAGTGATTCCTTATTAAAAAAAATACAGAAAATTTAGAGTGGAATTATTTAGAAGAGGCAGTAAATTTTAGAGGATTTTCAAAACAAAGGGTGATGTGATTTATCCATAGTTCACGCTCTAACATCATTGCTATTAAAAACAAGGTACAGGTATTGCATCACCAATTCAGAAATACAAGGAAAGAATACATCTAAGAATTGAATGTACGCATTGCAGTAATAAGGCAGACCACATTCTCTATAGGCATTCAGTGAAGATACATTTCTCCATTTTGGAGTTTCAAGTAATATCTAAAATACTCCCATTTATTTACCAGTAAGATCTACTGATATGACTTGTGATGTCAGTCATACATACAAGGTCTCACAATAAAGTCTGCGAACTCGCTGCTTGCCATGGCAGCAGTGGACAGAAATCTCAGTCAGTATGGTTTGTTGATGGTGGCATATCTGCGTTTCACAGCTGTGTTGTTTGATCTCTTTCTGAGTGGTGTCTATTATTGTCTGAGTTTGTTTTGGTATGCTGTCCTGAGAATGCTGGAGCTTGCATTAGAGCAATGAATGAACATTAAATTTCTTGTTAAACTTGGCAAGAGTGGAATTGAGAGCAGAGAGATGTTAGTGCAAGTTTACTGGGATAATGCTATGGAGAAAACAGCAGTTTACAAATGGGTGAGACATTTTTCTCAAGGAAGAGAAAGTGTCACTCACGAAGAGAGGTCAGGATGGCCAGCAATGAGCAGAACTGAAGAAGACACTGCTAAAATTTGTCAAATTGTTCATGAAAACCGTAGGCTGAGTGTCCAGAGCATAGCATAGCAGGCAAACATTGACAGAGAAACAGGAAAATCTTAACTGAAGATGTTGACATGAGGAAGATGTGTGCAAAAATGGTCCCAAAGGAGCTCACTGAAGAACAAAATCAAAGAGTCAAAATTTGCCAAACATTTTGGAGAGGCACGATGACATTTTTGGTTATGTCATCACAGGTGATGAAACATGGGTCTACCAATATGACCCTGAAACGAAGCGGCAAATTGCACAATGGAAGGTTGCCGATTCTCTGCTACCAAAAATTCTGTCATTCCAAATCAAGAGTAATAACAGTGTTGCTAACTTGTTTTGATGTTAGAGGAATTGTTCATTAAGAGTTTGTAGCAACTGAACAAACAGTCAAGCAATCTGGAAGTACTGAAAAGGCTGCGTGATAAAGTTAGATGGAGAAAACCAAAAGTTTTTGCCAGCAACTCCTGGATCTTGCATCACAACAATGCACCTGCTCACATGGCACTGTCTGTGAGTGAGTTTTTAGTTATTAAACAAATAACTGTGCTGGAGCGCACTCCCTATTCACCGGATCTAGCCTCCTGTGACTTTTTTCTGTTCCTGAAGATAAAGGAAATCTTGATAGGAAGGCAATTTAATGACATTGATGACATCGGCATTAGTATGACGGCAGCTCCGAAGGCCATTGCATAAAACCAGTTCCAAAATTGTTTTGAAGGTCAGACTAGGTGCTGATGTCGGTGCATAGCTTCTCAAGGGGAGTACTTTGAAGGTGACTGCAGTTATATTCAGCAGTTAGGTATGTAGCACTTTACCTTGATGAGCTTGTGAACTTTATTATCAGACCATGTATACATCACACACAATTATTTTATTGCTGAATATGCTTGAAATTAAAAGGAGGCATGTAGAGATAAATGTCTTACATGGTGTTCACTGAGATATGAATTCAAGCAGTTGTATAGATATATTGCTGTCATATCATGTACATATATCTATGAAGTATCCACTTGAGTTATTGTGTTGATTCCAGATTAAAGCTCTTGACATGATTTTTACCAACCTGGTCTATGTTGACTTTTGTTTGCATATACTGAGAAGGAAATAAACCTTACAGATCATAAATTGAGTCACTCTCCATGATAAATACTAACTACGCTTTATGTACTCCTCCCAGAATATTATCGATATTCAACAGACTAGACATGATACACTGATACAAAAGACCGCTTGCTTGTTCATGACCTACTGCATAACTTAAGTTCTTGTAACTTGTTAATGTTTGACTGTTTGTTACTGTTGATATACCAAAACTGTAATTTCAGATCTTTCACTCAGCATTAAATTATTTTATATATAGGGACTGATATCTGTTTGTTTAATACTGTCGTCCAAATGAAGTTTCTGAGCTCTCATGATTCTTATAAGGTTGTTTTGTCTCTTGAGCAGTTCAAGCAGATTTCACAAGCCTATGAAGTTTTGTCAAATCCCGAGAAGCGACGCATATATGACCAAGGAGGAGAGCAGGCAATCAAGGAGGGTGGAATGGGAGGAAATGGTTTCTCATCACCCATGGATATCTTTGATATGTTCTTTGGGCAAGCATTTGGTGGAGGTGGACGTGGTGGTCCCAGGGGCAGACGAGAAAGACGTGGCAAGGATGTGATCCATCAGCTGAGTGTGTCTTTGGAAGAGTTATACAAGGGGGCTGTTCGAAAGTTGGCACTGCAGAAGAATGTTATCTGTGATAAATGTGAAGGTAGAGTGTTTGAAAAATTAAGGATTGGTTATTTTCATGTAAATGTTTAATTTCATAAAATTTCGACTGATGTGCAGTTTATTTTGAATGAGCTTGGATTTGTAAGATTTGAGGTTTTCATGGTGGTGTCAATGAAGAATGCCATCATGTGTGATGTGGTGTTGTGTAGATCTTGTGTGAACTGACGTTTCAGAGGAACACGACACCATATACTTCAAGACGACATTCTTCATGCTTGGATTTATTAGAGGCCTTTACTCTTAACTCCCAGCAGGAGCGGAAAATTTCCAATTTTGTATTTTGAGCACAAAATAGAACAAAATCTTAAAACTGAAATAACTGGGTTGATGACATTGACATTGAACATTGTATGGGGAAGAATATTGACTAGCATTAAATTTGGACTTTTATATGCATATGTTTTATTATTTTGATCCATGCTAGCAACTTTGTTGTTAGAATCACTCATACTCTTGAAGTTGCAGTGGTACAACAAAAGAAATTCTCTTGTCATTTCCTTGTGAAATTGCCTGGTGAGTTCTATATGGATGAAATAGGTTCACCAGATCAGTAACTATCAACCTTTGCATCTTGTGCTCATGTCTCTTGTCCACAAATCATAGTCCATTCATAATAAAAACATCTCTATTTCCAAGAAGTGTGTTTTTACAATTATGTACATTTTAATATCATCAGTAGACGTCAGTTATAAAGGGTTTACAAAATTGTGTGTTATACTTGGGAATATGGAGTTTTTGGACTGTGTGCATTATCAGGTCCTAGAAAGTGGATCTGATTGTCTGACTCTGAAATACCAGAAACAGCTAACAGTGAATTATATGGCTGGACAGTCTGTTACTAACACAGTTCTGTTTTTGGAAAACCAAGTCTTGTTAGTAGTACCTGAAAATTTTTCTGCAGTTTGGAGGAATGCCCTGAGAAAATGAAAGTAATGGATTTTAGAAGGAAATATTTTTGATAGAAGATATAATTAAATTGACTAAATTTCAACTGCTTCATATGCATTACATTACATACATTGTATGACTGTGACAGATTTGACTCATAAATTGCAGAAATTTCAGCATGTGTGGTACAATAAATAGAATGTTGAAAAAATAAAACTTGAGAAGATAAGGTTTAAAAATTTTACAAAGCCATGCAGTCTCTGCTGATGTATGGGTCCAAAAATTAGACAGAAGTAGAGCTGTTAGAAGGTTTGAAATTCTGTAATGAGTGTTCTAGCTTCTGTGTGATGGTTCTCATGGCAATAGATGTGCACATAGTTGGGAATTTTTAATTTAGAAGAAACAGCGTAAAAGCCAATAGCATGAACATCTACAAATGGAATGTAGTGGAATATTCCAAAGAATTCTGCAGTAATTGTCATCATCATCATCATCATCGTCGAACTTTAGCTCCCGCTGGAGCACAGGACATTAACAAACTGTCGCCATCTCACACGGTTCTTGCTGAATTGTTTGATTTCTCCCCATGTCTTCCCAGCAGCCAGGGCCTCCTCCTAGCATTGTTCTCTGCCAGCTCCTTTTTGGCCTGCCCCTTTTCCCTTGTCCCTAAGGGTTCCACTCCATAACTTCCTTGATTGGAATTCCTTTTTGCAATTTTACTAAGTAAACGCCCTACCTCATCACGACAAACGGGTCCTTCATCTGCATTTTATCCTGAATACAGAAAAGTAAATCCATTTTGGGTGACTATTTGTCTGAAACTGTCCCACCTAACTTCACTCATGTCTAGATGTCTAATTTATATTTCTGTTTCTCGGCAGACTTGTTTTTAATCTTCCACTCTGAGCTAATGTTCTGACATTCCACAGAACAATTCTCGTTCTACATTTCAGGCCAAAGGTCATTTTTCCTCGTGCAGTCTGGTTTTTCCTTGTCAATGTTTCTTTAATAAAATGCCTTTAAGAGAAGTGGGTTATTAGCCCAGTGACTCCAAGTGTACTGGTGGGGCTGCCACCTAAGGACCTGACACCCGCCCCAACAACATCAATGGCAGCCATGTAGTTTTTGTATGGCATAAACAAGAACATTTCCTTGCTTGCTAAAAAAGTTGTTCTGGTTATTCTGCCAATACTTTGTTGCCATTTCCTCGTCTGTATTAACAGGGTCCAGCATTTGAAAGTGAGGTTAGATTTTGGAAGTGAGAGGCTATATGTTTGCATCACTCCCCTATGCACCCTTCTACAGTATTAACCTACAGAATATTGAGATGTAGGACAAAGCAGAAGAGGGTGGAGGGTTCATTCTGAGATAGTGCCTGAGTAGGAACAATAACTTTGACTGCTGACATTAATGCTGCAGGTCGAGGTGGTAAGAAGGGTGCAGTTGAGCAGTGTCCAACATGCAGAGGCACTGGAATGCAGGTTCAGATCCAGCAGCTGGGTCCAGGCATGATCCAGCAGATCCAGTCTATGTGCACAGAATGCCGTGGGCAGGGAGAGAGGATCAGCCCTAAGGATCGCTGCAAGACTTGCCAGGGGAAAAAGGTATGTGTTCATAGTCTACAGTCTGTAAGGTGATGTCAGTGTAAGGGCCTTTTTTGCAGTTATTTTCTGTGCATATGCGAGATCTGACAAATCACGAGTGAATCTGTAAAATGAACTTTGTCTCGAAATTTTTAGTGAATGATAACGTTCTGATAAACTTCCATGCCTAGTAACAATGATGGAAATCATTGTTGCAGAATCCTGTTAGTACTATTTGCCAAAAATATCTTTGAGAGAATGCCTACCTTGAGTAAACGACATCATGGAAGAGAAGTCGTGTATGTTCAAGGAGATCCTTGGTATGGCAGTTTTGGTTGAAATAAATTACATACATGGTGTGTATGTTCATGCTCTGTATGCATACGAAATATCACACAAGCACCACTAATTTTACATTATCTACAGGAGTTTCTCTATAAGTGTTGCTAGTGTTATGTCACATAATATTACTGATTTGAGGAAAGATTGGAGTGACCTCTGGTGGCATGACATTCATACCAAATTTGTGAAAATTAGTCAGCTAGTTCAGAAGTTGAAATGAAGGGACACGCAGACAGTTTGGCCATCTCATATAGGCCTACCTTTTCCATAACAGCTGGAATTAGAACATCTTCACTTAGAAAATTATAATTTAGGTGTTAGATACTGTAGGAAAACACTGGAGAAAGGAGGAGTGAGTATTTTTGTACACGAAAACCTAAAATTTACTAAAATAAATTTAGAAGATTGTTGCAAAGACCAGGATCTGGAAGCATGTGCTCTAAAGTTAGACTCTCATTTTTCTAATATTTGTATACTTACTTTATATAGAGCCCCATCTGGAAACTTCAATCACTTCATAAATAGATTAGAAACCATCCTAAATGTACTGCATAGTTCAAAAGTTGAATTTATAATTTGTGGTGATATAAATATAAACTATCTCATCGACAGTAATAGGAAACTAAATTTAGACTCTTTGTTATCATCTTACAATCTCTCCAGTACTGTTAACTTTCCCACAAGAGTTCAAAATAATTCTAGTTCAGCGATAGATAATAT